TGATATTGCAGGTTGGCCTCATTTTTCAGGGCCGGTTGCTACGTCCATCTTTTATACAGTCTATGTTACTGCTCTAAGATTTGATGGGGAGCTTTGACATCTGGATCACTGGTTTGTTGTAGAACTTCTGCTTTGAAAGGAGTTAAACTGTTAAGACATCTGTTCACAGTACGTTCCTCTGGAGACTATCCAGCTGTGTCCAACCACAGGGAAAACCCAGAACATGCTAAACACTAGGCAGCAGAAAATGGATAAATGAATCATTGCAGGACTCCGGGGGCCCCTAAAGGTTTGGGGCTTTTTGAGGCATAGCCACACTCTGCCATGATGGTTATTCAGCACATTGAAAACCCTGTTATAAAATAATGTACAAAGAATTATTTTACTCTTGATGCCTATCATTTTAGTTAAAATCCATCGCCTATTTTGTGGGCATGTGACATGCTGAAAGTATTGTAAAGCCCCTTGAACCATCTCGAAAATTTTGGGTTATGCAATAAAATTCACCTGCTTTACTTCAGTAGAAATTTTTTTCAAAAAAAAAAACAAAACAAAAACAATTTTAAGTATACTGTATGCTCAACTTCTCACTTGAGAGAGCTTATATTCAATTTGACCCCACATAGAATAGAAACAAACAAAAACTAAATTAGAAGTTTAATGAAAGCCACTTTATGCACTGAACACACCCTGCAGCAAATACGGTTCATAGATGTGTACATAAAAGCACAGACATTTGATCATCCTGATGTCTCTCTTCAAACACAGTGGGCTAGTTACTAGTTATATAGAAATGCTATACAACAATAACCAATGACAGAATTATGGTTAAACACAGGGAACAAAAAGGAAACTGAATTGCTACAGGAGAAAAATTACACTGCCTGAAATACTGCAGATGTTGAGCCAATGAGACAATGCACAAGAAACAATCCAACTACGATAATGTATGATTATCTTTTATATGCTTGAGCTTCAACTAAATATACCATCAGAGTGGGTTTAAGTTGGCATTTCCAAGGTCAGATGCATTATTGTAAATCTGATTATTAGAACAGTATGGCATGGTTTGTACTCTATGGAAAGCACTACATAAAAGATAACCATGCTCCAGCTAATTAAGTGAGGCTGCATATTGGTAGGGAGAGACTGCAATATAAGCAAATTCACAGATGATGTATCAAATCCAGAAGTGTTCCATGGAAGATACCTTTTTTTCTGTTATAACACTGTGGCATTTATAAACCATATTAACTGAATCTCATCCAGTCATTTAAATTAATTCACATACGTTACTTTTCAAAATAAATAAAACCCCACAAAATACAGTTGGTATACAGTAGACGACATTCAACACAAATTTACTCTCTTCCAATAAATGTTGATCAACATCAGCACACAGAAAACTCAACACATGGTGAATAAAACACAGCTTAGGTCATGAGTTAACAGCAACTGAATTGTATGGAACACCAAGTGTATATTTGATGTGTCGTGCCAGGTGGGAAAGGACAGAGGAGGAAGGAGGAGTCATGGTTTAGTGTTTTTGCTTTATGCTGACTAAGTAGGGAGCTTCTTAACTACTCTGCTCTTCTTTCTCCAAGTCTTTGAGGACCTTTAGAAGACGAGAAGGGGTGAAGATTTCAGTTGATCCTGAAAGACACAAAATGATATGCCATTGATGATGATTACAGTGATCAAAGCTAAGTGTAATAAAATAAATGTCTTATTCAACAACACTGTTCAGTTGTTCACAGTAACATTTCAAAAATGTACATTATTTCATTAAATAGTGAATTTCATTTCATTTAAACTTGTGTCCTAAACATTTGACTGGACTAAGCAAGTGATTTGCTGACAACAAATCCTGGGAGCAGTAATGCAAAAGAAGTCTGACAGGGCAAGATACTGAACAGTCAGACAGGTTTTAACCAGTTTAGTATCTCTAGGAATTACATCCATATTTGACAATTCCAAACCTCTCCAGCATCAATATGTGGTACCACAAAAAAGCTTTGACCGACCAAGGTAAGGCCACTATATATACCACACAGACGTGCAAAATGAACACCAATGGATGTAAAATGCAACAAACACATGTAAAACAGCCAAAAATAGTTACAAAACATCAATAAAAATGAACAAAATGACCACTAAGTAATGTAAAATGAGCAGCAAAACATGCAATATGGCCACAACAAGAAGGTTCAATAAACAAAAAAACAATGCAACCACAAAGACACTCCTCTGTGAGATGGGTGGTGGGTCTTTCATGCATCTTTGCCCTGGGGCATGTTGTGCTATAATCCATCTATGTGGTCTGGAATCATTTATAGACCGATTTCTGACATGAAATACTTTGTGTGGCCAAATTCCTGTTCTTTTTTGTTCTGTTCTTTCACTCTGTGGCTGATTCTGGGCATTTTTATGGTTCAATTTGCCTGAAACTAACCTGTTCAAGTTGTCCAACTGTAGCTAAACAGTTGGACACCATGTCCACAACATAGCCACAGTGAAAAGCAGGAAGAAAAGCCCAAGTTACCAGAATCCTGAGACACCACAGTCTCCAGTTAATTGTCTGAAAAGTGTGGTAGGAAAGGGTCCCTTAAACCTTCCAAAACAACCGAACAACTGTCCTAATGGATCATCATCAGTATTTGACAGATGAACAAGTGAACTGTGTCATTGCATCACAACCTGAATGTAATGCATCTTCATCATATATGTCATATACACTGGCAATGTAGCATGTGTTAAATTTATGTTACAACTTATCATCTTCATGATATAATGTATATGTAGAGTTAGCATGAAACAGTGCAGCCAGAAATCTGCCAGAAATGCAGAGATGATTTCAGCTACTGTACCCCTATGCAGGTACACTTCCCCAACAGGACACTGTATCAGAAACACTCACTCTGAAACTTCACAACACAGACAAAAGCAGCATCTGAGTGTCAGTGAAGATCACTCACAACAAATACTGCAGCGTAAGGTTTACAGGTAAGAAGCTGGGTGAGTTGGTTGGCACGAGGGAACATGGGGATTCACAAAGCACATCACAAGTTTTGTATTTACTTCCACTTGTCTTTTCATTCTGCAGGCGGCTCCTCGGTGCCCTCTGGTGGGGAGTTGGGGTCCAAGAAGTCTGGGTGCTGTAGTTCCTTTAGGTACTTAGGAGGTGTGATTATGTGGGTGGAACCTACAGGGTACAAAATCCTGAAAGCTCAGCAAGGACTAAATCCTGGGTCAAACGCTGTTATTTATGTAAGATACACATTAGACTGATAGAAACAAAAATAGATTTACAAAGGTTTTAATGAAAATTTACCAAATGCTGCCAAACAGGCCTGTCCCAGGAGACCAGGGTTTCTAAAAGCGTCATGAAATCTGAACTCCAGACAACGATGCATTTTTAGTTTTTCTCTTCCAGTACCTGAGACTGCACCCTTTCCTAGTGAGTCCCAACAACATATCAGCTGTCACATAATGTGATTAATGCCTTTACATAGAAGCCACTGTACTCAAAACATAAATTTAAGATTTCCAAAATGAAACATCAGCAAGATCCAGACACTCAGAGGTATTTATCAACCATTTACCCATGTATACCAGGTCATGCTGGATCAAACAAACAAAGGGGAACTCTGCCAATTTATTACTGCAATTAAGTAAAACTGGAGACAGATTTTTAAATTAAGTTTTAAAAGTCAGCAGAGTGCCAAAAAAACCTTGAGATACCTCACTTGTAAAGGCTGACTTTCACAAAAGCTGTAATGTACTTGTTTCATAATGCAGCTGAATAACATCTTATGTAAGCCCCTTGCCCATGTCCTTCATTCAACACCTTCAGTTTGTACTGTAATTGAGCTTCACCTATACATTTGTATTCTGGTTTTAAAAACCCAAGCTGATGACATCACCGATATCAACAAGGTTATTTTCACAGACTTCATAAAGCTCTCACTGCTTTCACTACTCAGTACTACTCAGCCAGCAAAAACAAACTTTTTTTCACTAGCTGAGTAGTACTGATGAGAAAACTAATCTAAAAGTTGAGGACTAAGTAACCTGGTCAGCTCTCTTTTTGTCCAGTTAACTCACCAATCAGGGCCTCCCACTTGCCATTGGTCTGGGTGACCTCATACACACAGCGCATCTCGCTGTGTGTCATGCCTCCGATGATAAAAACAATTATCCGGGGCCCTGTCTTCATCTCTGTGGGACCCCTGTTCTTGTGCCAGTTACCATAGCGAGCACTGTATGATGAGAAACATATCGATAAGCATTTGTGGCAAAAAGGTTGTTTTTCCACACTGGGCACAGTGATTTTTTTCCCACTAAAACGACAGTCATGGCTCTAATCTACTTAATTTTATTTATATTACCTTGAGTGTGATTTAAAAACTACACACCTTGAGGGAGCACTGGCTTTGGCAGATGCTTGTCGCTGAGAAATATATGGGTACTGCTTGGGGTCAAGTTTGTCCTCAATTGCGTCCTGTGGGAACACATACAAGCTACAACTCTATGTACCAGAAACAGACTCACCCATGTTCCATTTCTCAAAAGCCAAACTAAAAATAAATGTCTAGTACTCCAGTAATCCCCAATATTAGCCTGTAATCAGACTGAACAACCTAAGTAACAGTTGCAGTTACAGCACATGAGATGTACCTCAATAAGATCCTTGACAAGAGGAGTCCACCTGGAGAGCTGGTAGGTCTGCTCACTGATTCGTTCCTTACGATCAGGCTTTTTGGCCTTCTTGGCAGTGCCCTGAAAAGAAACAGTGTTATGCTTTTACAACTCAACTGGAAGTAATGTTTTTTAAACTTTACTCTCAATAATGTTAGTTTTACATAGAGTCCCAATTTCTTTCAACAAAAAGTTAATTTTGTGCTTCTATGTTGAGATAAAAGTGCTTACCCCAAGCATAAACAAACATTTTACCTGCTTCAATTATTTAGAAAGTCATAGATGCAAGTAAGTTGAAAATTTTGTTGTTTTTTTTTTTAAATGCCATTACAATGAAATGTTTCCAGTTCAGGTGTTATACTGTAATCTGCCATAAGGGGACATCATACCTGCTGAAGCAATGTTTGGCAGGTGGGGAGAGGAAACTTTAGGTCTTCTCTGTCTCATGTGCTTGCAACCAAAGTAACACACAGGCGTGCAAAACAAACCTCTCTTTACTTAATGAAGTTACTAAAATGCAATAAATTTGTCTCAAGGAAGAAGCCTTAGTTTATGCGGTTTGAAATTCAAGATTGCGAGTTTACTTTATCACATTCAATTTAGATTTGCAATTCTTTTTAGAATAGTTTAAAAAAAAAAATGTTGTCACACTAGTTAAGATATCACCACAATCAATAACCAGCAGTTTATAGCTCCCTCTCATATACGAGCTGTTGCATATAAATAACAATCAGTAAAACCAATCATTTGCATAAAATTGTAAGCAATTTATTTTTTCCATGTCCATTCTGGGAAGCCTTAGCCTTCACCAATTTCTAAATAGTGCCCGTTCAGTTTTGGTAATGGCTATAAATTTGATCCATCTCAACAAACACGCGCACATGGTTTACTGAGGGTTTCCAGTGAATCCCCTTCAAGGACTTTTCTCAGCAGCCTATTGTTAAACTTTCATTTAATGACAAGCAAATGGGTGACATGTTCAGTCACGCTGTGAACACACGTACTGTAGTATATTTTGATTAGATTGATCAGCTGCTGAAATTATTCCCCAATAAATGCAGTTTTGTTCTGTTATAGTACAATTTGCTAAAAAAAAACCAAACAAACAAAAAAAAAACCTACAGTGGGCCGCTGTTTTGGAAAATGACTAAACCTTTTTCAAAATGTTATATATTTGTGTTCCATTTTTAAATATCCCACCCCTTTAACCCTTTAACTCACTGGCTGTACTGTGGACAGTAGGAAGTAGGAAGGAAAGTGAAGACGACACACTGAGCAGTAGTAAGTACCTGGAGTCTCTCTGCCTATGTTTAAAGCTATGGTGGAACACTGAGGATTGTGGCAAGCACAGCTCACCTCAGAGATTATGGGAACGCCCATGTGGGCCATGTTGGAAATGATGTCACTGTCCTCTGGGGGGATACTGGCATGCTGAAGGAGCTTACAGAGATTTTCCTCTGTCACACCTGACACATGAATACACACAAATACATGCAGCACAAATGCATGTTAGTATGGACACATATAAATATGTATTTAGAATTATTTTTAACAAAAACACACACACATGCACACGCAAACCACACACACACACACACACACACACACACAACAACTAAGACAGAATATCAGAACACTGATTCTTTTCTGCTTTTCTCATCCCAGTGCAGTAATCTCCAGCTTCCAGATTGTATTAGCTGATATGAAAGACAGCAGCAATAGGACAGTGGATGCCTTACCATTTTTAAGAAATATATAAAGCAGGATGATGCGGATCTTGTCAGACACACTGACATTGGCATCCAGTAGAACGGGAACAATAAGCCTCATGGGATCCTTGATCTTCTCACCCTCAGCATCTGTGGACATTGCCAGATCCTAAAAAACATTACAGAGCAGAGTGGTCTAAATGTCAACCTGAGTTCCACATAAGTTCCAATGCATAAGAAAGAAACATCCTATGTCGAAAAAAAAAGAAAATGGACACACCTACAAACAGCCAATTGCTACATTCAGAGAGTTACCCAATGATCTGTGTAGTGAACTGAGCTTTTTTCAACTTATATTTGAAGCTGAAAAAAGCTTCAGATATACGAACAAATACATATATTTGTTTGATTGTTTGATTGTTTTATTAATTTTGTATATTTTGCAATGACTGTGTTTGTTTTTTGCCTACTGATAGAGATGCTAAACTGTCTTTTGTTGTTGCACAATAACAACAATAAAAATCTGTTCTATTGTATTTTATCCATTTACAGTACCTCTTTGCAGTGTACTGTGTTATAGACTATTTTCACTGGACAACTTTGATACTGAAGAAAACCTAAAACTGCAGTGACTGTGATGGTTAGAAGCGTCTTTTGTCTAAAATTTCAAAGCAAAATTATGGACACTTATTTACAGGCATTGGTCATATTATAGTCAAAAAAATTTACCAATTAGCATTTATAATGAAAATTGGTGGTTGATTGCAGCCTTACACTACTTGTATAATGGATTGTTAAAACTTTTCTGAGGTCTTAATAAAGCAAACATAGACAATACAAACCAAATTAAAGGTCCCCATTCTACATCTTGTCACAGGGTTTTTCTATAAGACAAGGCTACAAAATGGAGGATGATTGGACACCATAGGAAAAGGAGAAGACAGGAAGAGGAGGCAGAAGAAAAGGGAAGGTGGGTGGGGCACAAGAAGTGAGAACGAACAAGTGGGAAGGGCAAGGTGGTATTTATAGACATATGACAGGAAGGGGAGTGACTGAGATGTGGTCCTCTATTCCTGAACTTCAGCTTAAGATTTGATCTCCATTTCGATACCTTGGACCACACATCAATTTGAAGCATGATTGTTCATTGGAGTGTTATGCTGGGGATGACTGAGTTGAGCTGATGCAGTGTGGAGAAAAATTTGTCGGGGACCAGCAGTGGCTCCTTGGATGGGGGACCCCAACAAAGCTTCTCATAAGAATGAAACAAGGAGTGGGCATCATAGGTCTCGAGGTGGAAAAGGAGTGGATGCACTTGATGCCCATGGCCCTGATTAGGTGCCATGTTGGCTGGAAGCTGCAGTAATATGGAAGGAGTGGCCAGAGAACAGGATTTTAGATGCCGTTGGGCACAGAGTAAAAGAGGAATCAGAATAAGGTTGTGACTTGACCGGTCTCTGTAATGAAGTCAGAGTTGAGGGGGCAGAGATTTTTCTCACATCCACCCAACCGGTGGAGGCAGATGGCTGTCCCTCCCTGAGCCTGGTTCTGTCGGAGGTTTTTTTCCCCCCACAGGGGTTTTCAGTTCCTTCCCACTGTTGTGGACTGCTTGTAGACTGCTGAAGCTTATCAGGAATCCAAATGTTTTGGATTATTGGGTGTTTCTGCCTTTGTGAAGCGCTATGAGATGACCTGTTGTTGTAAATATGCGCTATACAAATAAAACTGAATTGAATTGAACTGAATTGAATTGAATCATGGACTTTGTCGACTGGTGAGCAGAACCACCCTCAAACGAACGCCAGCAAGACAAAAGAGATGGTGATCAATTTCCACAGGAAACCCTCACACACTCCACCGCTGAACATCCAGAGACTTGACATAGAGAGAGTGAGGACCTACAAGTACCTGGGTGTTCACCTAAATAACAAACTGGACTGGACAGATAACACTGACTCTCTGTACAAGAAGGATCAGTGTCGTTTATACCTGCTGAGGAGGCTTGCATCATTTGGTGTGTGCAGGCCACTGCTGAGGACGTACTACGATACTGTGGTGGCATCAGTGGTCTCTTATGCAGTAGTGTGCTGGGGAGGGGGGTGCTCTGAGCATGATAAGAGCAGACTCAACAGACTGATAAAAAGAGCCAGCTCAGTCTGTGGCTGCCCCCTGGACTCCATTGAGGTGTTGGGAGAGAGGAGGGCACTGGCCAAACTGTCTGCCATCATAGGAAACACCTCCCACCCTCTGCATTAGACTGTGAACTCCTTACGTAGTATGTTCAGTGACAGACTGTTACATCCAAAGTGTAAGAAGGAACGTTTCCGCAGGTCCTTCATCCCAACAACAGTCAGACTTTACAATGATGCATTATAGACTCCACTGGTACCTCTGTTACTGCTGCACTTTTTCAACCAACCAACACGTTCCACTATGTGCAATAACTATCATCTTTGTGTATATAGTCTTCATAAAAAAATACAAAATCTTCTGTCTATAATGTTCTTTTATCTCTTGCAATTTTTTTGCACTGTGTTATTGGTTTCTTTCCTACAATTTGCACTGAGTGTTCCTAAATTATTCTATGCTGACTGTACACTTTTTTTTTTGGAGCTGTTGTAACAGTGAACTTTCCCCACTATGGGATCAATAAAGTTTATCTTTATCTTTATCTTTGAAATGTATTTGTCTGAAATTCATGCTGGGGAACACAAAAAAGTTGGGCATAGCATGTCCTAGGACACGAAACAACAGATTAAATTTCGTGACAATTTTCACAAATTGCAGTAAGACTGGGTTGGAATGATAGTGGCCTGTGTCTCCAAGATGAAGGACTATGTTGAGAATTGCAGTCAGGTTGTTGTCAAACTCTTGTACTATAATGTATTTTGAATTGTGGACAGTACATGTGGTGGTTGGGTAACTCAGGCATCCTCGTTTGTGACGTATTAAAGATGAATATTCTGAAAAGGTGCATCGGTGCAGCTCCCAGTAGTGGCGCCCCCAGTAGCTGTCTTTGATGAATTGTTGGAGAGGAGTTGCTATGTTAGAGGCGAGCGAGATGGAAGAATGATAGATAATTGTGTCTCCAAGATGGAGGGCTATATTGAGAGATAGAGTCAGGTTGTTGTCAAACTCTTGTACTATAAGCTGGCAGCCCGTTGCCAGAATAGAAGGGAAAAGATTGTTGGGAAGTGTCAGGGGAGGAAAGGTGAGTTGGTATCCTATGGTTGGAAATAGTTGTAGTGATTACTGTAGGGGAGGTTATTGGTGGATGGGATGAATCATGCCAACCCAGGCGGAGCATGCTCAGACACATGGTTCATCATAAGGGGTATATACAGACGTACGACAGGAAGGGCCGTGATTACGGTGTGGTCCTGCTCCTGAACTTCAGCTAAAGATTTTATCAGCATTTATAATGGTTCTCCTCACATATAAAACTCTTAATGACCAAGCTCCATCTTATCTTTAAAACCTTACTGTAGTGCCATATTATCTTAAAAGAGCATTTCGCTCTCAGACTGCAGGTCTACTTGTGGTTCCCAGAGATTCCAGTAATAGAACGGGAGGCTGAGCCTTCAGTTATCAGCTCCTCTGTTGTGGAATCTGCTCACAGTTTGGGTTCTGGAGGCAGATATCCTCTCTATGTTTAAGATTAAGTTTAAAACCTTGCTCTTTGATAAAGCTTATAGTTGTGGAACGCTAAGGGTCACGTATCCGTTATTAACACTATAGCAGCATTATTCAGTTCAATTCAATTCAATTCAATTCAATTCAATTCAAATAACTTTATTCATTCCCCTGCTTTTGAATTGAATGAATGAAGTTATTTGAATTGAATTGAACTGAATTGAATTGAATTAAGCTGAATTGAATTGAATTGAATTGAATTGAATTGAATTGAACTGCAGGGTGGCGCAGTTGGTAGCACTGTTATCTTGCAGCAAGAAGGTTGCCGGTTCGCGTCCTGGTGGGGGGGGTTTGTATGTTCTCCCCGTGCAGCGTGGGTTCTCTGGCTTCTTCCCACAAGTCCAAAAACATGTTGAGGTTAATCATCTTATATTTATATGTACATATTTCTGTCTAGTATGTGTGTATCTCTCTATGTGTAATGCTGCTGACAACAATGTGAAGATAAATGAGATAAATAAAGGCATATCTTATCTTATCTTTTCTTATCTTATTGGTGATTCTAAATTGTCCATAGGTGTGAATGTGAGTGTGCTTGGCTGTCTGTCTCTAAGTGTAGCCCTGTAATGTCCCCTGCCTTCGCCCTAAGTCAGCTGGGATAGGCTCCAGCGACCCTAGTGAGTATTAAGCGGTGTATAGATAATGGATGGATGGATGGATTGATGGATGGATGGATGGATGGATGCATTGAATTGAATTGAATTGAATAATGCTGCTATAGGTCTATAATCATCAGAGACTTTCCACTGGTCACCTTTCTCCATACAGTTGTTTACCACCATTATATGTCAATAACTTTGTGTCTTCTCTCTCCTGTAGTCTGTGTTTTGTTCTCCCTGTGGGTGTCTCTGGATCTTTAGCCATCTGCTATCCTGTTATTCTCCCCTTGAGATGATATTTGCTTTGAATTGGTGTTATTTAAATAAACTTTAATCTTTGCAACTAACTAATCATGGTGTGACTTGGGGGAAAAAAAGACAAAGCAAAAGCACATTTCTAAACAGTTAGAAAGTTAACACTTTCACCCAGGTGACTGGGGTTTCAGTTATATGATGAGAATAACATGAATGGTCAGTTTCAGTGATGGTCCTGAAGCAACATTAATTACGGTGCTCTACAAACAACAGCAATGTGCTATTTAATACACAGGCAGGAGGCTGACATTGCCCTGTTGGAACGAAAGCAACTATGCATATTTCCAGCACCACACAGACATATATCCTGGCAGTGCTTGCTTACTTTGGAACACTAAATTAAGCTCAATTCCACTGCATTAACTATAGATGAACATTACAAAAGGGTCTAAAGATAGGTCTAACATTTACCTGTTCAACACGACAGAGTTTGTCCACAGTGCCCTGGTAGCGGTTCATACAGTCCTCAGCCAGATGGAGATGGGTTGAATACTGAGTTCAAAGAGGAGAGATGCTGTTACTGAGGTTGATACAGACAGCCCAGACAGCTACAACATATGTTAAACATATCATGTACAGTATTTCTACCTGCTGACAACTTCCAGGCTTCCTGAACTTTTCCTTACCACATTGCCATATTTATCATGTTCATAGGTTTACTATCCTGTTTATTATCTCACATTGTAATGAAAGTCAAATTTTCTTTGCATGTTGAACGTTGTTTAAACACTGTTACCAACAGAAATAAAAATGGCAAATAAATAAAAAAAAACAACAACTATACAATAAAGACAGACGAGAATAAGCAATACATCAACCTGAACAAAATAAAACACAACATTGAACCAAAATGACAAGCTGACATTACATCTACAATTTTGAAAATGAGGCACAGGCCAATGAGCCTTTTAGAAACTCTCCATATTGAATAAATGTTAAATCTGAATTATACAAAATAATTCTACAAAATATATATAATACAAAATGCTTAACAAATGTATTAGAGCACCATCCAGTGTGAGGTTTAGGCCACAGGTACCCTAAATAACAGCATTGGCAATTACCAAAATAATTTTTATTTGATTGATTGCATAACCATTGTTTTGATGACTGCAGCCATGCATCTTGGCATACTTTCCATCACCTTCTGACATTGTTCTGCTGTCACAGCAGCCCATACCTGTTGCACAAATTCAAACTAATTTACTTTGTTTTTGGACTTGTGGTTCTTCATTTTGCCTTTGATGATTTTCCACAGGATTGGATTTAGATCTGGTGATTGAGCAGGCCAAGGCTAGGTTCCAGTGTTCTGGTTCTCCATCCAGGCTTTAACTGACCTTGCTGTGTGGTAAGGGCCATTGTCTTGTTGGAAAATCCAGTTATTTGAGGCAGGAAAGAGTTTTCCAGCTGATGGATGAAGACTATTTTCAAGAGTAGCCCTGTACATGACCTGGTTCATTTGCCCTTCACACAGTTGCATTTGCCCTGTTCCACCCATACTGAAACAACCCCAGATCGTCACTGATCCACCCCCATGTGTTACTGTAGGGGCAAGACAGTCTGGTTTGTAGGCTTCTCCAGACTTCCTCCTAACCAGTAAGTTGGCTGAAATGGGCTTCAATTGAAAATTGGATTCATCACTGAAGAGAAGCTCAGCCCAATCATCAACAGTCCAGTACTTGTGATCCCCAGCAAAGAGTAACCGGGCTTTCCTCTGCCTTTCATTGATGAAGGGCTTCCTCTGTGCCCTGTGTGACTTTAGACCAGCTTCAAGAAGTCCGTTTGGAACTGTCCTTGCCAAACAAGTCACATTTCTCCACAGTGCCCACTCATTTTTAAGATCCCTGGAGGTCTGACGACAATTCCTGACACAGGAAGGGATGGGTGCATGGTCATCTCATGGGGTAGAAAGACGTTTTCTGCTGCGACCAGCTAGCAATTTGGTAGTACCATGTTGGGCTTGTTTTTTCTTGGTGTAATGAACGGCTGTCTTGGAGATCTTCTTGTTTTTTTTCGCTATCTGTCTCTCACTCATGCCAATTTCCAGCAGTGCCAAGATGGCTGCCTTTGTGGCTTCACACAGTCCTTTTGTTTTAAGCATTATGTGAGAGCTGACAACTTCTGAGTTGTACTACGACTTGAATGCAAGCAGGAAACCACTCTAGGCCTTTGGATGTGCAGTGCTGCTTATGACATGACATGGCCTCTTATGCACCCTGGGAATACAATTAAGCTTAAGCATGTCAAATAGGACATAAACTATTATGTAATCAGTTGCATTTTTTGCCATGTTCATTGTATTCTTCAGGTAATATACCTTTAGTGGTACCAGGCATTAAAATGAACAAGAAATTGAAGAAAACAAGGGTGTTCTAAAGTCATTTTCTATGACTGTATATATAATAGTAACACTTAAGCTCCTACCTTGCTGAGTTCTTTCTGATATTGAGGCATTTTCTTCAGCATCTGGGACAGTTCCTTCATGGTAGTCTGAAGGAGAGAGTGATACATTTCAGTGAAAGTAAATCTTCTTTGCTTTAATGCAATGTAATAATATATTCATGTGGAGTGAATAATATACATCTTTTTTTTTTTTGAAATGCAATTTTTTCTTCAAATTAAGTGATATTAAAAAGCAAATATGGTCCCTTCTCCACAGATTCCCATTACATCAAAAATCAAAAAGGCCAGATACAAAAATCAGTTATAAATGCCACTAGATTAGTTAAAAGGGTCCAAATCTAATTTTAGATACAATTCTGCAGCCTTTAGAGCCCATACACATGTATTTTCATGTGTTTGAGCAAAGGAGGTGTCAGGTTTGCACATAGCATTTGTGTAAACTGCATAGATTTAAGGGAGACTCAAAGCAATCTTCAGCTTTTATCTGTGGTTTTGTAACAATAGCACATGATTTTCACATTAAAATCTCTGGTCATCCTTTGACAGTTTATAATACTCCAACATGTGCATGCACAAAATAGCCTACATGTTTTGAACTATGATTGTAAAGAATATTAAACAATGTAGAAAAACATGTTTTTAATTCAGTTGGAAACATGCATGAATAATTATAATTCTAATAAAAATATTAATAATAATTAGGAATTGTTTTAGTCAACCTATGGTTTTTCATAGAACATTGTGTTAGAGTCCAGTGCACCTGGTCATTTAACTGTTTTTATAACAAGTAACGTGAACCAACAGGTTTGCTGGTGATAATTTAACAAGTGGCTTGTCAATGTGCACTGACAGAACTGATTCCTGTGTTCGTCTAATGACTGTAAACAGAGTCACTTGTGTTAATGAAAGGCCATAAGACAGAGTACTTGATATTGCTAAGCTTTGATGCTTATAAAAACTATAAGAGGATGCTTCACTGAATGTGCATTTACATGCACTGTGAATCCGAATCAGGAATTCACTGCTTGCCAGAGGTGGTGGGAGAGTGGATGAATTATGTTTTTTGTCAGATCACATGATCACATCTTTGCAGCCTACAGATGTGTCAGAAAAGTTCCAGGAATGGTGTCACAAAAAAATATATTTCAAACCCAAACTACAAACTACAAGTTTTCCCCTTCAGACGATCAACCAGCACGTCTACAAAGAGATCCTGCAGCATTTGCTTCGTTCAGTGCGCGAGAAGAGGTGAGCGTTGTGGCAGGACAAGTGGTGGCTGCTTCACCATGACAACCTGCTCACAACGCCCTGAGCATCCAACAGTTCCTGGCTGAGAAGAACATCGCCGTGCTGGAGCAACTTCCCTACTTGCCTCATCTTGTTCTGTGGGATTGTTTCCTCTTCCCCAAACTCAAGGGGTTCATCAAGGGGACCTGTTTTGAAGACGTGGACAACATCACGATGGCTGTGATGACGGAGCTGAGAAGGATCCCGGAAGAATCCTTCCAGGAGTGCATGGCGGTGTGGGAGAGAAGGCTGGGAACGTGTGTTAGACTCCAGGGGGATTACTTGGAAGGGGAAAACATGTAGTTTGTAGTTTGGATTTGAAATATATCTTTTGTGACACCAGTCCTGGAACCTTTCTGACACACCTCGTATAGCAAACATTGCATAGGCCAGAAGTGGCTCACAGGGTCAGCTGATTCTTCCACCTCTGTGGAGCTAGGTGAAGGACAGCTGAGAGTCAAACACAGAAACAGATCCTGAAAGGAGGAGAGCAGTATCGTGTGTCCTCTACCTTTTCCCCTGTGTTCATCTTTTTGCTGGCAGAGAATTCTTTTAGAGAACGAGTCACAGCCCTGTGAAGCGAGAAAGACAGAAAAACACAAGGAAAGTCAGGGGACATGAGTTGAGATGTACTGTATATCCTGAGTCCTAAGATGAATAGTGCTTTACGACAGCACTATTGTATCCATTAAGTCGAAGCAACTCACGTTGACACCTCAGCAATGTGTTTGTGTCTCAGAGTGAGCCACAGGTCATCATCCTCATCCAGCAGTACCTCCTTCATTCTGGTCTCACCCATACCACTGGTCTCAAAACTGACAGAGAGGGTGAGAGAAGTTTACAATCTGTCTGTGTGCATCAAAGGGAAATAGTACTCTATCTGTTTAAATAAATCTTAAGGTATCCAAGTGGGAAATAAAGGCTTTTTAATAGATTGACACTGAGGTATTTATCAATTTTATGTTTGTGTGTTACTTTCTTTTGCTTCTTCCTTGCAGTAAGATAGACCATGTTTTACCGTATATATAAGCCAAAATGTGAGTTACATAATTAAAAGCAACAAAGTAAAAACATTAAAAATTAAAAATTAAAAAAAAAACATTGAAACTCTTAGAAGCTGCAAGTCCTCTTTTGTTGTTACCTGTAGACATCGTTCTCAATGCCAAGCAGGTCATATGCCATGGCCTGCAGTGTGAGCTCGTGCAGAAGAGGTGACACTGGATCAAAGCCTCGATCCAGAATGAGCAGCTGAGTGCGAGACTTGTCTGGGCCCTGGAGATGTTAGAGCAGGAATCCTTTCACCAAAAAGTGTAACTCATTCCTGGATTCCCTCCCTCGGTTTCTCGCTTGATCACAGTTCACCCAGATTTCAGAACTTTTCACTGTTCATGTCATGTCATGTTTTTAGTTTTTAGGGTTTTTTTTCTTCTTCTTTTTTATAAGCTATTGACATGATTACAAGTTTGAGCTTTTGCTCAAGGTTTCTGGAATATTTAGTAAAAAAAATAAAATAAAATAAAAATTGGGTGGTTGGATAGCTCAACAGGTTGGGCAGGCGACCCATGTACAGGGGTTATAGTCCCTGATGCAGCAGCTGCAGTTCAATTCCAGCCAGTGGCTCATTTGCTGCATGTTTAAAGAGGCTTTAAAGATGCTTTAAAAGAATCGCAGAAGTTACCAAATTTAACATTCAATTCAATTTAACATTAATGTCAAAAATTCATGACTCAAAAGTATATGGAGTAGAGCTGTGGCACTTTGCAAGATTTCATGGTTTAGGTAGAAGTTTTTGCCTGATTTATTTCAAGAATATCCACGACCTCAACTGGGAGGCCCTAGGTGAGTTGGCATGGAATGACCCAATAAGTCTCTGATTCTATCAAAAGGCCAGAGAGAGACGTGACTCTTTTTGTTTTTTTTTTCCAATTTTAATTTCCTTTTTTTTTTTTTTAATTTTCCAAACCTCCCTTGTCCAAAAGACCCTGCGTGGTGAACTTCCAATGATACATCTGACTCTTCCCCTTTGTAATTTTGTCATCCAACTTCACTACCCTACCTCTCCCATGGTGGGGTCATCAGCCTTGTAGCCATCCAGCTTCTCCTGAAGCATCTGGGCAAGAACTGCACAGTCTTTGTACTCCCTGAACCAATACACACACACACACACACACACACACACACACACACACACACACACACACACACACACACAACACACACACACACACACAGACATATTTGTCCACATTTCCAAGAATGTCTACATGAGTAGAAAAACAAGTTTAATCTGTCTCCACATAAACCTAACAAAGTCTTTAGATGTTTACTTTAAAAATGTAAAAAATTCACCTTAGTAGAAATGTTAAGTGGCATAAAACATCCTAAAGAGACTTTTTTAGTAGTTGTGTGTGGAACTATGATGACTCATATATCCCAACAACTTGTCAAATTTGACTAAAACACTGATAAAACGCAGAACTTTGTGAGGGTTAAATAAAGTAAGCAACAGGCTAACTTAGTAATTAAATGCACTTTAAAACAAATCTGTTCATAATAAATCCTGGATTACTTGACAGCTGAGGTTAATAACCAGGGCCCATATACATTCACCCTTTGAGGATGTATATTACTCTGCATGTAATGTAAGAAACAGGCTGTACCAGGATTATGAGTGTTAACATGTTTCTTCTTTCTGAGAAAACAAAAAAAAGAAAGAACTAAAAAAATAAATAAATTAAAAAAAAATAATTACATTTTATATAATTTTACTCCAGTGTTTCTCAGTTGGCACAGCCAATCAAAATGTTGTTGTAAAACTTGAAGACTGGTTTCCTCTGTCTCACCAATAATGAAAATAATAGGATTCAAAATTAGGACAAAAAAGACAATTGAAATTAGTTGTATTTGTTGGTCTCACCCTCTGTATCGAACTCCAGGATACTCTTTGAGTGTGGCACAGAGGGTGGCGATCTGTTCAGCACAACGCTCCAGCATGTTATTCTTGACGTCAGACTTGAAGGGGCTGTAGAAGTCCTGAAAGGCATCCACTTTACCTAGGGAGAAGACCTAAATACATGGCAGAGAAACACCATGAGGTCCAACATTAACTTCATTCCTGTCCCCAACATTTACAATGACCAATGTTAACCCAGTTGCCTATGAGGAGACCTGACCCTGAACTCATGCAAAGCAAGGATGCTAATATGTGTCATTACACTGTTAACCCAAAAGTTCTTTATACTCAAAAGGTAGTTTTGTTGCATTACTTAAACAGTATGAGTATATGGAGAGTGTTTGAGATAGTCATTGGGTGTACTCACTTTTGTAAGTTTAAAAAACCTAAACCAGGCCACAATTGCTGCCCTGTTCTGATTGGCTCACAACTCAGGACAAGTCTGAGTTTGACCACTGTGTGTTCTCTATATACAGTTTTGCAACAGTAGGACTTAATGCATATTATTTCAATGTAGTTTTGAAAAAGTAAATGCCCACTTTTAACTATTTTTGTTTAAAGCCTCAATTTAATGCCTTGGAAATGCAAATACTGCCCTGCCATCTGTGAGAAGAGAGCACAGCTTTTCAACTTGATAAGCTAAAGCATGGAACTTGTGCCAGAACTGAGCCCTTTCCTTGGTTGGGCTTGTATAGTGACTGGATTTCTATGGAAACAAAAAAACCTAAACCAGTGAGGGGCTGCTGCTGGAACTTCCAATCTAGGCGTAGTTTGTGCAGGTTCCATTGAAGGAATCCAAACATTTCCTGTGTATTTCCAATATCGCCTTTACTGATCTGGACACACTTGTCCCAGCAACTTGTAGTTGTATGAAAAATAAATAAAAAGGTTCAAATTCAGCCACTAAAACTCTGGTCAAAAAACTGTGTGCTTCTCCCCAGTTAGCAGCACACCTGAGGAGTAATTGACCCTTCCTCTATTTATACTATTCACATATGACATTGTCCAATAAACCACTGACTGTCATAACATGAGATCGACACCTCAACAGACACATATACATGAACACACACAAAAATGGCTCTGACAGCATGTTCACACATTACCAAAAATAGAACCACAATGAATTAGAAAAAAATATAATATTAAAGAAAGCCATACAGCTGATTGTAGACAAATTGCTGTTAACCTGAATATCCTCGCTTTGTCTTGTTTCTGGAATCTGAATGAGGCAGACTCCATGGGCATGAGGACAACAGTGCTACAAGTCCAGCATCACCACAACTAAACCCTTCAAGAGTGGGGATCATCCTAGAGGGCAGCCCTGTAATGGACGCACTCACCAACCTACCTCAAGCAATGTGCCTCCTGTTCGGCTTTACTTCTGTGTGTACCTGTGTTCTAATAAAAAATAATAAAATGTAGTGCATTGTGTGGTCATTGACAAAAGAACAACTTAATTGGAATTTTCTTATCCCAAGTATATATTTTTTTATACATTCACAATTTTAATAAAACTAGGATTTTTAAGTGTATTTGATGTATACATTAAGTTCTGACTATTCTGCATTCTACCGGGTTTACAGTGTATACGGAGCAATGATTAGGACTTTTTGTGTTTTGAGTCTACGTCTAAATGGTGTTTTGATATCTTTCAGCTATGAAACAAAGAGAACTCTGGAGAAAATAATTATTTGGGCTTGAAAATCATTGAAAGTAAAACAATAAATGAGACAATATTGGCCCCCAGCAGGCTGGCACTAAATAAACCCTTTTTTCACACACACTCAAACAAACACATGCACCCATCTGTTACTAACGCTATTAAATGATAACAATCCCTTTTTTTTTTCTCTCGACACACATCTGTGCCATTGGCTGCAGCGTATGACCATTGGTTACGTCAGCCAATGAAGTAAAGGAATGAGACGAAAGAGGCACTGGTATGATGTGTCCCCTCCTACAGGATTAAAACTACAGGATAGCAGAGGATTGAAAGCTAAAGCAGATCCAACACAAAATGCTGTCAGTCTGGTCCTCTTTACTGTGCTCCTCCCTTTCCAGAGGAACTGTGTCAGTATCAAAGTGCAAGGTGAGAGCAATATTTTTATATATTCAACACTCAATAGAACATACTCTCTCTATATATATATATTCTCATCTTGCTCAAGGATAAAGGATACTTGGCAGTACAGGCAAGGAGCAGCTTTTTCCTCATTACGATACATCAACATGGCCTTTCTTTGCAAAGGTGTCAGTCAACCCTCTAAAAGAATATACTGTAGATTTTAGTTTAAGGAAGGGCATTACCCAACACAATCAGTGTTGGGCACTGATATATTACAGTGATGTGATTACTTTTACAGTAGTTCATTGTTACATACTAGAAATCTTCGTAATGCCCCGTCATTTTGACATGTGGAAGTCAGTTTACTGCGTGGGAGTTGTCATGGAGGGCATGTGTAAATTTGGTCTCTGAGTTCAGCGGTCTCCTCTTCAGAGGTGTAATGAGATTCCAGATTATTCCAAACTTTGTCATTTTGTGGCAAATACAAATACAGTTGTAGCTCAATAATCCGACCCTTAACAATCTGAAAACCTTAGTATCTGACAGGTTTTAAGGAAAAACGAATGCAACCCACTAAAAATAGCCTTAACATACCGACAGCCTTGGATTCCGACAATGTCACAAATAAGGATAACAGTGTATTATCTGATGTAACAATCCAACAGATTAGCTACGTTCAGACTGCAGGACCTAATGCTCAGTTTTTGTGAAATCTGATTTTTTTTGCAAGTTCGTTCACATTTCCAATTAAATATGACTTATTTGTGATCTGCTGTGTGAACTTCATATGACCCAAAAGAGTCCTGCATGCGCAAAAGAGGACACAACAATGTCATATATTTGTACCGAACCGTTCGGTCCAAGAGCTCGACACTTGTGCTGACACATAGGTGTTGCCGGATCCATCACTGCGAACAACAACAACAACAAGACAGAGCTGGAAGACGCTCCGGTGTCATTAAAATCACCTGTTTGGGATCACTTCGGTTTCCTGGTGAAGTCCGAAAAAGAAGAAAAACAAGTGGACTAGATGAAAGCCGTATGTCCACATTGTGAAGCGGTCCTCTACTATGCATCCAGCAACACGTCAGACTTACACACTCATTTGAAAAGGCAGCATCCAGGCGTAACTGCCCGCTGTGCTGGAGCTCTGACTCCATTCAGTCCTCAGTCCTCACCGCTGTCTTCTCAGCAGTACATGAGGAAGCTACAGCCAGGCAGCATCACAGGAGTGGGCTGAGCAGAGCTACTGACAGATAAGTTCAGAATGACATTGTGACATAAACTTTGACTCTACATGTCTCCTTGATCTCTCTTTGCCATGAGTCAGGACGACTGACACGTGATTCGTTGCGTCGGTCGTGCTTTTCATTTATGTTGCATTGCTAAAGTTATGCTAAGCTAAGCCACTCCCTGTCTGTTTGTGTTTGCAATAACCTCGCTGTAGTTATGCCAACCTAGCATAGCGTTAGCTAACTGCTTAAAGCCAGTAAGCAACTGTAGAAATAAGTGTAGAAAATATCTGAGTACAGAATGACCGTCTATCACTCCGTCAGCTTGTTATTGATGATATCAATGTTAATTCAAATGCTAAAGCTATGTTCTGATTCTCCATGAATCTAATAGTGTAGATAAAATGAATGCAGAACTTGCTGGAAATCACAATATGGTGGAAATGAGCTGCTTGGTGGAGGTCTGCGCCCTCACAGTGCTCTTCTAGTTAGCCATGTTTTACAAACTCGCCTCATTTATGAACAGCACACAAGCTCAAACTTGCTGCATAATAATAATACTTTTTTCATTTATTTGAAAAATAGTTATTTTTTATATTCATCGCTGAACTTGGTTGTTTGCAGCAGTGTCTTGCTTTTTTATACTGGAAAAGTAATTCAGTCATATTTACAGCAGACCAGTAAGCTGGAATTGTTAATACTGCACTTGTACTTTTGTTTATTTTGTTTTGTTTATTTGATATTGGGGATGATGCAGCAGTATTTCTGTTACATTTGTATACATTGTACATTTAATTTGATTTATTGAGCTGCTAACAGCTTTTTGGTTTAATAAAATAAACAAATGTTTTGGATTAATTATGAGCACTTAACTGAGAACCCAACCATACCGAACCGAACCGTGACTTCAGTACCGAGGTACGTACCGAACTGTGATTTTTGTGTACCGTTACAGCCCTAGTCAGCAGCCAAGTACTGCATGTGCGTTCCAACCACTCTCCCTCTGGAATAATGGTCACAACTATGATTATAAGACCCAAGTTGTATGGCACAAACATTTTTTTAATACCAGTCTACCATGGTCCACTAAAATGGACAGCAAACTCAAAACCAGAACAGTACCTGAAAAAGGGCAATGCAGCATAACATTACAATGAGTTACATTCATTTCATGGAGACTTACTCTAACTGGGACTATAGCTACTACTAAGAACTACATAATAATGTCAGCCTTTTGCAATACACCGTGCCACAAAACATTTCTGCTCAATGGTTTAGTCTGTTGTTAAATAAAGTTATATGTAGCTACTATGTGGTACATTCAATGCTAAAATGATTGCAAGCAAAATGTGAGTAGATATCTGTTCTTGTCACTCCTTTGCAACTCAGTAGAATTCAGTGTCTCCAATTATAAGACTGGGTAGGTTTTACTGTAAACAAACAAACACACACACACACACACACTCACAAAGTTCATTCAAGTAATGCAATAGGAACACCCTACATCTCACAAACTATTCTGCACGTTTTTCACACTTGTGACCAAAATCCCTCCAAACTCTGTCTATCATGTCTCATGAAGCCAGTTATGAGCAGCCTGCCATGGTGTAATCCGAGCACAGACAGGATCTTACCTGAGATTCATAAGGCAGAAAGGCGATGTGGATCTCAGTCAAGGCCTTCATGGCTTTGGAGGCGCGGGATTTGGTTAACAGTCCAAACAAGGAGTCTGGGATTGCTGCAAGGAACCACAGAAAAACATGGGGACAAATGGATATTATTAGTAATTACATAAAAGAATTTTCATGTTATGTCAGCCTTGAATCCTGCTTGTTGCTTGAAGTCTTTAAGGGAAACAATTACACACAAAAGGTGATTTAAACATCACAGAGATACTTCAGTGTTTATAGCGAATGAGTGGGCTGAAGGGTACATTTTTACAGTCCTTCTCTGGTTATTAATTACACCCCTAAAAACTCATCACTGTGTTTCAAAGTGTATCAAAGTCATATATTTGGGCTTGTTTTTTCCATGAAAGTAATCCCTTCATGCCTACAAAGATTAGATGTAACTCTACAATTTTGCTTCCTGTTAAATGTGTGGGTGTAGGAATGTGATGAGTATGGACTGCTTGTTTTTTTGTGTTCCAGGCTGGAGGAGGATGCTCTCACATTCACACACCTGTAGTCTATCTGGTGATTAGGCACTGGTTAAAGCCTCACTCCACCTGTGCTCTAGTGCCAGACGATTATCAACTGTCTGAGTGGTATTTAGTTTAGTTTCGTTATTAGTCTCTCGTGTAACCCATATTCCTCGTCTTTTGTTCTCTAGTGATCCTCTGTTGGCTCTAGCGGTCCCCTGCCCAGCCTCACCAAGTCAGCCAGCACTCAGCCACATCAAACCCGCCTGCACTCAGCCTCTTGAGGTTTGGATTCCCGTTCACGAGCACCGACACTGTATTCCCTCCACAGCACCCCGGACCCCCCACCTTGGATCCCATTCCCTGCTTCCTGGTCTCCCTCACTCCCAGCTCCCATAATAAAAACCTGTTGTTGTTAAACCTGCCTCCCTCTCGCTTTTGGATCCAAACTTCCACGACTAGGCTCCTCAGCCGTCACAATAAAGTCACTGCTTCTCTCTCCCACCAACCTTATCCACTCACTGCAGCTGAAACTGGCCACTCAACTAGGACTGTGCTTAAACACTGTAAAAGTTCTCCATGCTATAAAACAGGACACTGTAATATTAGAGTAATTCAGCCATATACGTCAGACCTGGAAACTGATTCTGAAGAAAAATAATGATACAGAAAGCCTCACTCTGCAAGGTGAGAGTTGGTTCTTTAGTTTTATGACCCTGGAAGTCTAAATTTCTGTTTTTTTTACTGTCATCAGTATGTTGTAGTTTCAAAGCAGAAATTGGTTAACTGCTTATGTTGCTCATGATGTGTCATATAAAAATATACCAATATGTTAACAAGTTAAAAAGAAATAGATTTTTGCTGTAGGGAATTTTTAACAAAAGTGCACTGTGCGAGGTGGGACATGGAGCTTAAAACAGTGCACTATTTTGCATTATGGAAGATATGAGATCCAGGTCATGTCAGAGGTTTTTGAGGGCCCACACCATCCCTAGTAACCAAGACCTGACTAGAGCCAGGGACCCCACTTATGGTCAGTTCAAGGGACTGTGTTGGTGGAGGTTTTCTTGCTTAAGGTATTTTGACCACATCTTCTCCTTAAATGATTTTGTGTTGTGCTTTTTCTTCCCTCACAGTGCATTTAAATGAAGGAGGAAATAAGTTTTTCTCATGCAGGTCTAAAGTGAGAATGAAAGCTGCCTATACCTGGGTGGAGTTGAACGTAGCTGCTATAGACTTGATTGGATGGTGTATTGTTATCATGGCAGAAGAAGAATGTAGAGTTTAGAAGCAGACTGAAATTGTGAACTGTCACACTTGGTTTATTCAGATCAGATTTGACTGTCCTTCCCTTTCAGATTATGATTTTGTTTAAAAAAAATAAATAAATAAATTTTAATGGTGTAGCTGTGGCTGCAAATATGGCTATTGTTTGGACTTTAGCTGCTGCTGTGGTTCAGTCAGAGGTAGTATGGATATGGCCAGCTGTTACTATTTGAACTTACAGTGCTTTTGTGCCCTGAGATTTGCTACTATATATTTCAAGAAAACCAAAAGAAATCAAATTGAATGTCGTGCTGGTGTGGACTGTATTTACTCACTGTCAGTGAAGAAGACATGGGCTCCTCTGTACCTTGGAGACTGTGGATCTCTGAAGTCATCAATCAGACCCTCAACAGACTGAAACAGCAGACAACAATGCTCAAGCGAATGTACGAGTGGGAAAGGGAATGAAAGTTAGAAAGATTAATTACTGCATTCCAAAGTTAGTAGAGTTATTTCAATGACATTTAGAAGAACTACACTTAAGTCTTTTTGACCCCAATACAAAAAAACTGACCATCCCACCAAATGAAATTGTGTTTTGAAATATTCAAATGAAAAAAAAGTGTCATTTTCCATTTGCTGGACAAAATGCTGTAGGATGAAGAAATCACAATAGAAAGAGAAGTAGCCTGTACAGAAGTGGCACTATTTACCTCGTCTGACGGTGTGATCAGGTAGATGGCCTCCATGCTGGGCAGAGGCTCACGCCGCTTGCTTATGTCTTCTACAACTGGAGCACACAGAAAAACAACTGTGCTCAGTATTCATGAATAAGCTTGATTAGACTATAACATTGTTGAACTATGGTAAGACAAAAACTAGCTTTTTAAGATGTTAGCATTGTGTTTCAAACAGTAAAAGAGGAGTGAATGCTAGAACGCTACAATCATTCTACCTTTCAAAGGTCACATCAAATTCAGATTTTTTGAAAGATTTTTTGGACATTTCTACTAAATTGGATTGGACCATGTAGAGAGACAGGACATGTGGAAGAGAGGAGGGAAGTGACCTGCAGCAAATGATGAGTCAGTCTTAGCTTCATGTGTTTTCGCATTCTTGGTTTTCTGTGTTCAGTTCCCAAGTTAACTTGGCTTTCAGTTTTGTTTCCATACTTGCTCATTCCCCTCCAGCTCACTCTCCCGGGTAGTTTTGGTTCAGCTTTTTTTTTTCTTTTTTTAAAAAAATTTGTATCTGTACACAGTCTGCACCATGCATCACCATTGTTAATAAACACTGTCCTTCACTGAGTCTCTGGTCTCCTCATCTTCATTCGTGTATGCGTGTGCGCTCCTTAGTATATCGCAACAACATACTTTATATAGAAAATATCCAAACATTGGGGACCATTCTATTTTGCATTTACTTGTAATTTTATATATTCCGAATCATTATATCAGCTTGAAAATTGAGTAAAAAGTTGAATCTAGAATGAATTTCAGAATATTTTAGTGTTTGTTTTGCTTTTACTTTAATGATTACAGCACTGGAGTTGGAGTTGGAGGAGCTCAGTCTTCGAGACGTTCAGTTGAAGGTGGCGTTTTTTTCATCCATGCCGAGGTCCGGGCAGAGAGCATGTGGTCATCCGGGGGAACATCACATGGACTTTTAGTTTGTATTTTTTCTGTACCACCAGCCTGATTGTGTTTACTTACCTGTTTTTTGTTGAATAGGTTTTGATTTAAAACATTTTTGCCTAAACTGTGCCTTGAGTGCCTGGCTTTGGTCTACCTAATCAGGTCCTGACATTGGCTTTCTCAGTTGTCAAGTGCCTCTAAATTTTCAATGGGGTTGAGGTCAGGGGACTGTGGAGGAGAGTCCATGACAGTGAAATCTCTTAGGTCTTCTTTGGTCCTCAAGTAATCTTTCAGTGCTCTTAGGTGCATTGCTTCTGCAGCATAAGTTCTTCACAACAAAGTTGCAAAACAAAAGGTAGAACATGTCTCAGAAGAATGCCCAAAGCTTTGAGGTTATCAGGGCCTCCACCTCCGGCTCTGCATAGTGCCTGCTGTTTTTTCCCTCTTTCCTTTCCTTTCCCTTTCTTGCTCTTAGATGGGCATGAGCATGGCGTGCATGGGAGATTTGTTGCAGCCATTTGATGATTACCTGAGTGATTGCACCTGCGTTGGGGAGTGAAGCACCTGAACACCATTCATCCACCTGCCATATAAGCTGGACACAAACCACCTCTCCTCACCATTGACTCCTCTTGTAGTAAGCATTGGCCTCAGTCTCTGCTCTGCTCTTTTGTTTCGGTTTTGTTTGCTCACCCAACTTCTGTCTCTTTTTTTATATCAAGAGTCTGTGTCCACTGTGTCCGTTGACCGTGTGTGAGTTCTTATACCAATTCGTAACAGTATGGTCCAGCCAGAAATGAGCTGAGCAGACCAGTAGCAGCCAGAGGTCTTTTTTGCCTAGCCTGCAGCAGGCTATGGCCAATCATAGCGCAGTACCCAGCCAACATGATGAATTACTTCAAACACTTGTAGAAAGTACTAATGCCCTGATTAGGCAAGTCTCTCAGCTCGCACAGACTGTTTCGGCTTTAACCACCCATATAGCCGCTAGAACCACTAGCCGCCTAGCCACTGCTCCGGCGGCTAACGCCGCTACCCTTAGCGTTAGTCCCACAATGCCCTTGCTAGCTCACAAACTGTTCGTACCAGTTCCTGAATGTTATGACAGTGACCTTGGTTTTCGTCAGTCATTCCTGACCCAAGTGTTGCTCGTTTTTGATTTACAGCCCCTGTCTTATGCTTTTGACAGGTCTAGAATAGCTTATGTGATAAGTTTGTGGAAGGGCCTGGCTAGGGAACGGGGGACAGCTATGTGGGCGAATCAGGCTGCTATATATGCTCCGTATCATGACTTCATCACTGAAATGAAGAAAGTGTTTGATCGTCCTGTTCATGGCAGGGACACTGGAACTCGGCTAATGTCATTAAGGCAGGGGACCAAGAGCGTCTCAGAGTTCTCTGTAGAGTTCCGGACCTTAGATCAAAAACTGCATCACTGTGCCTTCTTCTCCCCATGCCTTTGACCTGCAGAACGGATTTATGACATCGGTAACCGTGAGCTGTTGGCTGTGAAATTGGCTTTAGAGTATAGCGGCATTGACTGGAGGGAGCAGAGCATCCTTTTGTGGTGTGGATCGATCACAAAAATGTGGAATACATTTGATCCGCAAAGAGGCTGAACTGACGGCAGGCCTGCTGGACCCTGTTCTTCAGTTGGTTCCAATTTTTCTTGAACTATCGGCCAGGCTCTTGCAATGTTTGCTGTGGATGATCCTCCAGCTGTGTCTGAGCCGATCCTACCCCAGTCTTGTCTTGTTGTTTCGCTGACCTGGGAAGTGGTGGAAAAGGTGAAACAGCCCCAGGACCTACAACCGGACCCAGGTAATGGACCCACTAACACCTCATTTGTGCCTCATGCTGCCGTTCTCCTGTGGGCCCACTCATCCAAGCTGTCCTGCCACCCTGGAGCAGCTTGCACCCTGGATGTTCTTCGGCAGAAGTTTTGGTGGCCATCCATGGAGACCAACACCAAAGAGTTTGTGGCAGCTTGTGCCGTCTGTGCCTGAAACAAGTCATCGAATCAGTCGAGTTCTGGCCTTCTGCAGCCTCTGCTGGTTCCCAGCTGTCCCTGGTCTCATATCGCTGTGGATTTTGTTACCGGACTACCCCCTCTTCCAAGGTAACAAGTTGATCGTTTCTCGAAAGCAGCACACTTCATTGCTCTGCTCAAACTCCCCTCTGCCTTGAAGACTGTGGAACTGATTGTGACCCAAGTTTTCCGGCTGCATGGCATTCCAACAGACATCCTTTCCAATCGTGGACCTCAGTTCACATCTGAGGTATGGAAAGCTTTATGCTCCGCTCTAGGAGCATCTGTGAGTCAAACCACTGGATTTCATCTTCAGTCAAATGGCCAAACCAAGAGGGAAAACCAGTTCATGGAAACATTCCTATGCTGCATGGTTTCAGAAAACCCATCCACATGGAGCAGCCAGCTTACTTTGGTCAAATACGCTCACAATGCGCATGCCTCTTCTACTCACCTTTCCAGTGCTCCCTTGGGTGCCAACCCCCTTGATCCCGGCTCAGGAAGGCAAAGGGATGGTTCTGTCTGTGCAGTCCTTCATTTGACAATGTGAGAGGACTTGGAAGAAGCCTCGTCAGGGTCTTCCGGAGCATGGAGATCCAAGCTAACTGGCTCCCCGATACCAGGTTGGGCAGAAGGCATGGCTTAAAGCTAAGGACTTACCTCTATCAGTTGAGTCCAAGAAGCTGGCACCATGGTTTGTTGGTCTGTTTGAGATTGAGATTAAATCCCACTGCTGTTTGTCTGAAACTCCCTTCTCCTATGAAGATTCACCCCACGTTTCACATCTCCAAGGTAAAGCCGGTGTAAGACAGTGTTCTGTCCCCCCCGTCTGTCCCCCTCCACCACCCAGGATGGTGGATGACGCACCAACCTTCACAGTCAACTGTCTCCCGGATGTTTGTCGTCGTGGGTGTAGTTTCCAGTACCTGGTGGATTGGAAAGGCTATGGCCCTGAGGAATGCTGCTGGATTCCGCAACGGCAGGTTCTGGACTCTTCGCTCATCCCGGACTTTTTTCCCTCTTTCTCTTTTTTGCTCTTAGGTGGGCGTGAGCGTGGTGTGCGTGTGGCATTTGGTGGTTGCAACCATTGGATGATTACCTGAGTGATTGCACCTGTGATGGATATAAGCCATATAAGCCGGACACAAACCACCACTTGTCGCCGGACCATTGACTCCTCTTGTAGTAAGCCTTGGCCTCAGTCTCTACTCTGCTCTGTTGTTTCAGTTTCGTTTACTTACCCGACTTCTGTCTCCATTCCAGTTATGCTCCTCGCTGCTCTGCCTGTCCCGTTTCCAGGCATCACTGATCTCCACCTACTATCTGGTTCCTCATTCAGTCCATCGCCATTTGCACATTCCGGATCTGCACGCCGAAGACATCTGTGGCTGCAACTGCCAATGCTATTCTCCCACGCTGCTCACCACTGTGTTCCTCACCCCTCTCCCCGTTCTCCTGCCACCCTCAGTTAAGTTCCCCTGTTCCTCTGCCAGGTCTCGCATTTCTGTTTGTAGCACTAAAATTAGCGACTAGTATTGTGGTTAAAGTTAATGTATTGCCGGGGTTTGCATTCCAAGTATTTTATGTGCAGTTCTGAATTGTATTACACCTATTCTGCCTATAGACGTCCCTATAGTCTAGCTTTTGTTTGTTACTATTCCCCGCCAGCCCAGTAGAGGCTTCCTTGAGCCTTTGTGTTTGTTTAACATTTGTATTTCTGTTTCCTGTAAATATTGTTGTAAAAAAAATCTTTTTTCATATAAAGAGCCTGTGTCCACCATGTCCTTTGTCTGCTTTTGAGTTCTTGTATCGATGCGTAAAAGAGGTGCAGCCATACTTATAACAGGTGAACAATGGCTGCAGATTGAATCACTTGAATGTCCTCCTAATGTTACTTTAATGGAAGGATATTTCTCAAAGAAATCTGACTTTTTGTACAAAGGGTATTCTGATTATTTCCAGGTTTAAATGAAACAAATACTGATTGTTGATGTGTTATGGAAGTTAATGGATCATTTTAGCTGAACTGAATTAAGACTGCATCATATAAATTGGATTAAATTTACTTCACAACTACAACTGAAGAGAACTTGGGTGACCTGGGTGGTTGTACTTACTGGTGATCCCTTCTGACATAATGTCTGTCATCTTACAGCAGGAGGAAATCATCCTCATACTGAGCTTGTCCACCACCAGCACCTAAAACACAGGTGCACACAGCAGGAAAAAATGTAAGAATTAAAATATAGATATATTTAGTGACTTTATTCACATTCATAGTCAGGAATAAAGTTAATATCAATAATGATGCCAAACTTGATCAGAGTAGCAGGATGATTACCTTCCATTTTCCCTTTTCTCTTGCCTTCTTGATGACATTGTTCATTATCTCTGTAGAAAGAAAAGTAATGTAATTAAAGTTCTATCAAAACAGCAACATGGAGCAGCAAAGTGGCGGATTTTATGTAATGGCATAGAACTGCATACATGAATGGAGACTTAGATTTATTCTTCAAATTGGATTTATGTCAGTCGGTGGAGATAAACATTCTTTTTTGGCAGTTTTCTTGAAAGAGCAATGGATATCTTAAAATGAGACATAGGTTAAAGCCGATCATATACACATCCATTTCTTCCATCCATTATCTATACACCGCTTAGCAAATGCTGCTAATGGTTAGCGGTCAAAGACGTTACCATCTTTGCTGCTAGCAAATAGTAGCATTAGCAGCAAAGACAACAGTAGAGAAACTCCATCAGCGCTTGTTGTTAAATATTTTCCCTCTACATACCCTCAAAAACAATGTAAAGGTTCAATTTGCAGGGCAATTTTTGCTGCACAGAGAGAACATGCAAACTCCACACAGAAAGATCCCAGACCTCCTAACTGGGACGCTTCTATCTGTGAGGCGACAATGCTAACAACCGAGCCACTGTGCTGCCCGCAGATCATGTATGTCAAGCCTAATCAGTTTCTGTGTTTTTATCCAATTCTAACCTTATTCTGTTGCTGCAGGTATAACATTTGATTTACTGTATGAACTCAAGAGCCTCACAGCATTTTAAAGCATGTGAACCATGGTTTAAGTTGAATAACGAAGTGGAAGCCAGTCAAGGTAATCACTGACTGAAAGTAGCCAGTGTAGTCTCAAAGTATTTGATACACAGTGCTTAATTTCAAAGGTAGACTAATAGAAGTGGAAATCACACATGACTCTGATTTCCAGTCACTGTCTATGTAGTTTATACAGCAATGTCTTCAGTCTATTCAGTTTTGTCAGATGTAGGGCGGTTCATGTATTTGTGCAATAACTTAACGTTTTGTTTAATGTATAGTCAATCATTCTAATCAAACCAGAAAGTAAAAACATTTCAACATGCCATAGTTTCCTAGTATTTTTCATAAGAACAACATGGTACGGAGAAAAGTTGGAGCCAGTCTCAATATTAACCATATAATATTAACCAAAGTTCCCCATTAATGATTCAATTACATTTTACGAGACAACCACTGACAACACTCACAAACTTTTATAAACTTTGTAGATAAAGTCTGTATTGAAGGTCAGTTGCAGTCAGCTTGTTAACCTGTGCATGTACAGTGAACCACAACACAGAGATTCAAGTCCTTCCTGCTCATTGTAATTATGTTAAAACTAAGTTATTGGTGCTGTGTAGTCTGGATTCTGAATGTACAAAAGTTGCCCCTAAATAGATAAATAAATTGATTTGCAAGAAGAGGCAACACTGAGTCTGTACAATGGCTCGCCTACACAAGAGCCTACACAAGCACTGTTAAGGCATTTGTAAACATATATAATAGTTTGTTTAACTGTCTTTTTTTGTTTGTTTTTTTAAACATACAAAACAAAACAAAAACACACACACACATCACATTATGAATTTGTCTGTGGATTATACCTTTACCAAGGAAGTAACATACTGTCGTCACAGATAAACTGACGATGCAACTGAGGAGCTCCACTCCAAAAAGTTACTGATTCTGGTATTCTGTTTACTTTGAAAACTCATAAATAAAATTTAATGTGCTCCTATCCTGGACATCTCTGGTAACCGACAATTACATAGATTCAAATGTGTCTGTCATTTTCAGTTTAATCATCTCCAAAGCAGATTTCCTCTAGACTGTCAAAATAAAGTCCATAAGCATAGCAATTACAGTGAGAGCTAATGATAACTGGAATAAAAATTTCTTGTACATTTTAACATACTTTTTTTTTTTTAAACAAAAATGTGATTCTGATGCTGCTTTTTGTTGTGTTTCCTGTATCAAGTCCCTGTCAATCTGTCCATTTCTACCACTTTCTGTGTCCTGTTCATGCATGTATTAGTTAGTAATAAACTAGTTGAAATGTAAGTAGAAATAAATTAGTAACGAGCACAATGGAGGTAAAGAATGTTTAATTTTTTTATTGCAATAGGCAATGATAACATAAAGTTTCTTTAAAAAATTATATTTTCTATATATATTGTGGCAGGAGGAGTTGAAGTATGTATTGTTGTTATGTACTGTTGCTTAAAAATGATGTGCATGCTGGTGAAGTCCAGTATTAAGCTATACCAATGTCATCTGACAGCTAAGTAATGAACTCTCTACGTCACTGCTTGATATCAATAAATTTGCAGAAAAATGACACAAACACAATTTCATGACACCCTGATTGTGCAAATCCTTTTTCGTGAGAGAAGGAGTAAGCCTGCACAGCTGCAGTGTAACTAGACAACAGGGACACTGAGGGACAGAGGAATAACAGAACCTCTCAGATTCACAGCAGTAAAGTGATACCACATACTCTGTAACTGCCAATTGAGGCAGAATAACACAGGGGGATTGGTCAGTCACTGAGGTGTAAATCTAACTGTTTGTTAGACAAAATGCAACATTTCACAACATCCTGTCACTTGTCTTGATGAGACGTGTCCCAGTTTCCATCACTGGGGCTTTAAGCGTCTGTCCAGTCTGTCAGATGCTGGATAGGACAGGCCCACTGCAATCACTGCTGTAATCTGCTCCCAATCCTCTTACCCCATCCACCACTCTCAACCGCTATTTCTGGGCTGTTTCTGTGTCAGCGGACATGACATCCCAACGAAGCAATAACACATACACGCACATGATGAAACATTCATCCTCTAAAATGTCCTATTTCTACAGAGGACTAGGTTGACATTTCAGTTAAAAAGCTGCACCTGTAGTGTCATGAGAACATTATCATGTCATTGGAGCTAAGTGACAATTGTGGGCAAACTGTGGCTAAATCCATTAATTGTGAATGGCCCTACATAACACTGTGGATAGATCATTGAATTTGTCACAGATTTAAAGAACGTTTACACGATTTATAACAAAGCATTTCAGTAAAGGTAGAAATATGATGTTCTCCACCTCTACATCGCTACACCCTGCTGCATGAGGAAAGCTACTAATGGTTGTGAATGTAAAGCAAAGTCAGTGAATGGCCCTGTTTATTCAGCTAGTTAATAGGATTAAGTGGGAGCATCCATGAAAGAATGGCATGCTACCTGACAAGCAGCTTGTAGACGTGGGATAAACAAGACAAACAACAGACTGCTGCTGCGGCAGCTTCCTACAAGCAGCAATTCTACACCTACTCTAGGTGCTTAACAAATTAGTGCTTAACAAATTACAAATTTATTAGACCACCTGTCTACTTTGTTAAGTACTGTAGATATATATATATATATATAGATATATATAGATATAGATATAGATATAGATATAGATATTTTATACCCAAATTTGAACCAGCTCACTGGGCTTCTCTGAGAAGTCAGAAAATAATCAAGCACCACCAAAACTACTTTTTCTGTTCTGAAAATTTAAGGTGCTTTATTATTGTTGAAAATTCATTAATAACAATAATAATTCTATTTTACAAAAATATCGTTTGGGTTAAAGAGTTTCCACATACTGGTGTATTAGCCATTACAGAACCATAAAAACTGATTTTGGTAATTACCAATGCTGTTAATTTAGGGCAGCTGTGGCCTGAACCTTACAATGGCTGGTGGTCTAATACATTTGTTAAGTACTGTCTGTCTTTGTCCATTATGACTTTACAAAAGTCTCAAAATGTCGAAGGTCCATCTTTTTTTCTTTTTTTTTAAAGTTAGAAGTCTATATTTTGCAGAGGCATATAGCCTCCTACTATTCATATCATTATGTCCTAATGTGACCCTTGCATTGTACACAAATGACCATTTATAAGTATGTTCTACTTCTCTTAAAGGAAAGTAAGTCTTAAATTTGGGTTATTGGGTTATTAATCATTATATTAAAAAGTCTAACTAGCAGGAAATTGACAGCAGCCAGTTCTGTTTCCATGTGCACTTGGGTTTATCACATGGTGTGGATACCATAGTTTGCATACAATCTAACAAGACTGGTTCCATATTAAAATAATAAAAACTAACAGCATGAAGACAGGAACTCACACTCCGTTATAGGAAAAATTAAACTAAACATTTTAAGGTCAAGCCTACATTTCTTATGTCCACGGTGCCTTTTTACATCTCATTATTTAAAGCTGCACCAATCAATATTTTTACACTGACACTAGATTTGTAGTTTGTGGCAGCAGATATGCTACCTGCAAACTATTAAAAATCACCACTGAAAACTTAATAACTACCTATTTGCATATTATTTTGTCTACTGTCTGGATTTTTTCATATAAATAAGATGACATAACAGTTATTACACCAATCACTTCTATGTGACTGATTTTTATTCTGCGAAAACTCCACCTAACAAATACTGAAATCAAAACCCATCTGTCCAGAGATCTGGTTATCCTGACATAAATTTGGTAAGTAAAGAAATAAAATCTACATCTGTTTTGTCATCTTGCCATGTGATGATAAATGCTATTCGTTTTTGCTTCCATAAACTGCAGTCTATCACCTCAAGGGCCTTAAAAGGTAACCAGTCTTATGAATTGTTAATAAATTATTATTTATTGAAACTGTAAGGAAAGTAGCTTACAAGCTGTGGTGCCAAATTCTAAAATAAAATAAAATAAAATAAAATAATAATGACAGTAATAAAGCCTCTTTCATCAGGTGCTGACGAAGCTCACACCCTCGATATTAAAACTTCTTATAGGAACGTCTGAGATTTTTAGATTAGTTAGTATCATACATGAACCTTAACATACTTAACGGGAAGAATCACCATTTGATCTCACTCTCAGGCTAAAATGTAAAACTTGATTATTTCCGAGCTTTTCGTGTCGGTGCATTGGTCTGACTGGCTTGTGGATTTTTGAAATGCCTTCAAAGTAAAGCTCTCTTTAAAGTGGATCGTTTTGTCAGTGAGCGCATCTCCAGTCTGCTGGAGCCTCGTCCGTCTCCTGACCAATAACCACTACATAATTTAGGTTTAATGTTGGCCGGATGTTTCTTGATGATGTACGGAAGATGGTAGAAAAAACAGGACTGATTAGTTGTTGCTGAGGCTGTCGGAGTCGGATCTTCCATCTGCACGTCTCTTCTTCCGAGAATGATGTCAAATCACTTAATCCGCAAAAAGATTAGCGAGACAGGATTTACAAGCACCAGGACTCCATGCTTTCTATACCACACAATGAAGGGCAGAGTCGGACAGAAAGCCACCAAATAACTGTATGGTTGTATAATTTATCTCAGAAAATTATGGCAATAAAATAACCAACAGGTGAGGCGCAATGCTCCGATAATTCTGTGCCTCTTGTGTTAAATAAAGTTTTACAAAAGAAAAGCTTTGTCACATATGGCCACTGATAATAAGAAACGTAATATAATTTTTTTTTAAACTTAAAAATAATCGCTCATATCTCCAATTGAAAGTCTAATAATCAAGGAAACCGCCGTTTAGGCCTCTAGTACTTGACGTGACTTTCTAATAATAATAATAATAATAATAATATTAATAATAATAATATAATAAAAAAATAATGATTTTATCAGATGTGGCTGAAACTGTATCATTACGACCATCGAATTAATAAATAAAAAGCTGTTCTTACTTTCTCCAACAATGGCTTTTAGTCCCATTGGTGCCATGATGATCCTTCACCTACTCGTCCACCGCACAACACAAAACTGAGCTGAGCCACAACCATTGTAAAGCTACTGAGAGTCAGAATCCCACATCCGTTACAGTGACACCCAAAATAAAAGCCTTCAGCCGCGTGCTTAATAGAATTCAGTAAAAATAAAATAGACAAATGAAGAAGGATGTCTGAACGCATGTCTGCTGAATGCTTTAACAAAGAGTATGTGGTGTGATATATGGAAACATTAACATTTACATTTTGTTAAGAATAGAAATTCATTCTGGAACATGTGACAAAATAATCGCAACTCAAGTTCTACTTCATAGCACTTTCTGTGGTTTCAATCACATGTCCGTCTTCCTCATACAATTCTTTTTATTTTACCACTGCTTTTCTATTGCAATTAAATGTTCTTTAACCAGCCTCGCCCGTTTTCCTTCATCCTGACCAGGTATGCTGTGGTAGCACCCAGGTGATACATGTGTGCCGTTGCTATACAGCCATGTGTTAGGCAGCCACCACCACATACTTGACGTTTAGGGAGTGCATGTTCAGAAGGCTGAATATTGTTCAGTGCTCCCACAGTGACACTAGCCTCATGGATGAATCTCCCCAACCTCAGCCATATATATAAATACACATATACTTTTTTATAAATAAAATATTTTTTTGCTGTCATGTGACTTTTTTGTGTATTGTTTTAATTTCATGTCAAAGGTACGTTGTCAATTTGATTGAGCTTTTTTTTTTTTTTTTTTTTTTTTATTGCAGATAAAAATAATATGAGTAGCTTTTGTAATAACACATATAATTTTTATACATAAAATAGTTTTTTGCTGTCATGTGACTTTTTTGTGTATTGTTTTAATTTCATGTCAAAGGTACGTTGTCAATTTGACTGAGTTTTTTTTTTTTAATTTTCTTTTACAAAGCAGATTGAACTACTATGAGTAGCTTTTGTAAACTCAAATATTTGTGATTTTTCCACTGAGAAGTAATTGGTAGCTTCCAGAGCTATGCTTACAAACAATCTAGATGGAGTAGCACAGGTCTAGTGGATTTGCAGAAAATCTTTTTGTTTATCAGAGAAAAACCTGATGCTAATGAAACTACTCCACTGACATTTATTGATGTTTTCCCTACTGACAGCAGCAACAGGATGAATTACAGGAATACAGGAGAATTCTCTGTGCTAACAATCAAACAAATGCCTCAAAAACATATTTTATCATTTCGCAAGACAATGGTGTTACACATACAGCGACTGCAGTGGCTTATTAGGGTGAAGGGTGAGCCAGTCAGCTGATGTCAGTCCAGCTGAGCTGCTTTTTATCTGCTGACAACATTTGAAGACAGAGTAATCAGAGAAACCTACAACAATTCAAGTTAAGGTTGAGAGGGCATCACCAGGTAGGATACAAAAAGTCTGCTGAAGTCTGCCGCTCCAAGACTTTTGACTGTCACTGACTGTAAAGCCTTTTTTGCAAAAAATTAAACACGATCATGTTGTTTGACTTCACTTTAATGTTCGGTTATGGTCCATTTGTGTATGAATAATTATACTTTGGGCTCTGTGTTAAAAGGACTGTATGTCCCACACAGTATTTTGTATTTTTTCCTGTACTGACATACACCTACTTTGTTCTTTAATGCGCTATCTATTATTTAATTTCAAACTGAATGTGCTGAAGTTCAAAACTTTAAAAACAAAATATATGTCACTCTTCAAACATTTCAATATCATCAGATAACAACTTGTTGATCTATTACTTTTAGTAGTTATAGAAAACTTTAGCTTTAACTTTGCACAATGACCGTAATTTACACAAAAATGTATCAAAATCAAAACTGACTGTAAAGAAGTCAGTTTTTTTGTTAAAATAATGTTTTAAACTCATTAATATAATTAAATATTTATCAAAACCAAGACTTACCAAAAAATTGAAACTATGTTCAATGAAGAACTGCCTTTTTTCGACTCAAAATACCTGCTCATACACTCAAGGTGTAGCTTTACTCTTGAATGCACCCTAATGTGCACATCAACTTGTTGAATGATTTTATTTTGAAGAATTTCAAAACCGGAAACTCAAATGGTCGCTATTTAGTTTTGATAAACTCTGAAGATAGTGGCAGATGACAAGTGTACAGCCAATAGTATACAGTCAACAACTCAAGTGATAGTTTTGAAATATTAACTTCAAAAAATATGTAAAACACAACCTCTAATATTTTAATCAGCTTGAGTAATTGTTAATAATCAGACAAACAGTTAGATTCCTGTTCATTCCTGTGTCCTCAAAGTCCTTTAAAAAGGCATTTTGGATTGACTCCATACACTGGCTAGATAATGAAGGACACTTTTGTGACTGCTGAAAACGAATCAAAATACACTTTTTACTAAAACAAACAGTCACAACACAGCCTAAAGGCTCTTGGAAAGGTCAATGTCCTGTTAGAGACAGGACCATTCAACACAG